TGCCACAAAGCAAATGTTTAGCCAATGCCAGCTATTATTATCTGTCAGAAAGAAAGGCTAAACATTAACTATGACAAAACAAAATCACTGTTGTTGGCAGATAGTCTTCAACACCTAAACTGCCAATACTAAATTATTGTAAAAAGCAGGACAATTTGCTGAGTTACTTAATATTCTGCAGTTAGTTTAGCCTGGCAGGTACATCAGGCGGCAGACTGTTATGGGTTAAACTGTATCCTCTGAAAAAAAGATATGGTCAAGTCCTAACTCCTGGTAACTGTGTATATATAATCTTATTTGGAAATAGTGTCAACAAATGTATTAGTTAACAAGGGGTCATACTGAGTAGGGAAAATCCTAATCCATTATGACTGGGGTGCTTATTAAAGAGAAGAGACACAGAGACAGACACAGAAGGAAGGTTGCTATGAGAAGATCAAGACAGAGAGTAGGGTTATGCTGCCACAAGCCAAGGAATACCTGGGACCACCAGAATCTAGAAGAGACAAGCAAAAAATTGTCCCCTATATGAGTCAGAGAGAGCATGGCCATCCCAACACCCTACATTCAGACTTTTAGCTTACAGAACTGTGAGAAGTAGGTTTCTGTTGTTTTAAGCTACCTAGTTTGTGGTATTTTGTTATAGCAGCCCTAGGAAAATAGTACTCTGTACATATTTTGGTCCAAACCACTTCCATCATGTACGAGGATCTCTAGATGTTCAACCAAGTTCAAAGGCTAGAATGTATTTAAATCTCCTTCCTGAAGAAATGTAGGCTATGCCTATAGGTCTTACTATGGACTACCTCTAAGTTAAGACATTAGCACAATTATAAAATATTTCACTTTTTCTTTTTAAATGAAGAACAGGTAATAATAATAATAATAATAAAAATACCCACCATTTATTAAGTACAAAAATGAAATAAATTTCAGGATTACATTGTGTCCCACCGAGGAAGAGAGACAGGGAAAGAATGGAAGAGAAGACCCAGGAGGGAAGTTTGATAGAATAACTGAGAAAGAGAGAACTAACCCACAGAGTCAGAGGCCCAGACATGTACAGAGATCCAGAGAAGCTCAGCCAAAAGGAAACCAAGATATAAGTGATGGGCAAAGAATAAATAAGCAGACATGCAAAGGAATAATATTTTCATCTCAGGAGTATTAGGATACGCCCTCAAAAATTTTAAAAATCATAATGAATTTTCATAACTACAGGAGAGAATCGGATATAACCTGAATCTTTGGGCCAGATGAAATTAAGCAGTGCTTCACTAAGCTTTTTGGCACCACTGGGTGGTGCCACTGGTTTGCATTCTACTACTGGTCTACAGGTCGGCAGTTTGACCCGCCCTCTCCCCCAGCAGCACCCTGGAAGAAAGGCCTGGTGATCTCCTTCCATAA